CATTCTGGGAGCGGGAATGAGGGTCTGAGTCCCCGCTCCATGGAGCCTTAGGGCACCATGGGCATCTTCATGCTCAGGCCCATTCGGCAGATCCAAAGTGTCTGCAGGGTCACAAGCGGGTCTTCTGGGTTTGACCCCTCTTGCTGGAAATGACCGTTGGTGCCAGATGGGCCCTAGGAGTTGGGCTGCCACCTTGAATGTCCCACCAGCCGGTTCCTCTTTTCCCCTCAGAGACCTGCTCCCTGAGAACGAGTCCTCTCATGGAGGACAGTCAGGAAGAACGGACCACGCCGACGGGGTTGTATGATCTAACCCTGTCCCACCAGAACCCTGCTGGCTGCTGTCCCTGCTTACAGACGCAAGGGCCTCATGCCAGAGACACCACGCAACAGAGAAAGTGACTGATGATGGGAAAAAAAACCCACTCCCCATCCCACCCCACGAGTGGCTATGTCTTAAAAAACCAAGCTCCTTGGGGCCAGCAGATGGCATGGTGGTTAGGGTGCTGGACACTCCCACATGGCTGATTACGGTTTGAGTCTCATACCTGGTAGTTTACTTTCTCACTTCAGCTTTGTGTCTCTCTCTGGTCACATAAAAAAAAAAAAAGAATGAATAAATAAAATGGAAAGCAATCAAACCAAGCTCCTTGAATGCTTGGGGAGCCTCCGAGTTCATGTAAGCGTATCTGTTTTATCTGAGAATGCTGGCCGTCCAGGACAGGAGCAGCCTTGATTTGAGCCTGTGAGTCAAAGCATCTGGGCATAGCTGGGGGTGGGTGACAATGACCGCTCACGTAGCGTTAGGAGGTGGCCCTGGCCGGCGCAGGTGGGTCATCACCGTCTCACCTGTAGCTGGTTTATGGAAGGTGTGGACAGAACACGAGCAGGAACAGCCTTCACTTCTCTCCAGCCTCTTCCAGAGGCTTCTGTTGGGCAGGGCTGGAGGAGGGAGAGGTGAGTGAGGCCAGGCCAGGCAAGTGAAGGCTTCACCCTGCCTCAGCTAAAGGTCGGCAACTTTGCCCAGCAGGGGTTCTTTTGTATTAATTTTGATTTAAAAATATCCTGCAGTAAACCATAATCACTGTTTTTTTTTTTTCAATTTTTTTATTTTGGTGCTTCCATTTCATGCCTTACTTGCCTTTCAAAATGTCAAAAAGCTGAATTTTAAAGATAATGTTCCAAATAGTTATAATTTTGTATGTGACTATAACGACAGAGACAGTATAGTTTTAAATATTTTTGAGAAAATATTTACGTGTCAACTACTCAAACTGTTGAAAAACACCCAGCACGCAATTCACACATAAACCTCAATTCAGCCCTGTCTACTACTATTCTGTAATATACCATCTGCTAAAAAAGGTCAGTCTCTTTTTCTTCAGAGAATTCCTCGAGATAATCCTCTGGTTGTGGCTGCTCTTTTGCAATCTCTACTGGTTACAATTCTGGACTGGGAAGGTCCAGGTTATTCTATGGTGTGAATTCTTTCCTATAGCTTCTCTAACCCTCTCTGCCAGGCAGAACTCTTAATGGTGCCAGGCCATCTTTCCAAGAGTTTCTGTTGGCTTGCTAGAGATCTACCTTAGTTCCATAGTTTTCTGGTTTTATCTTCAGATATGACATTCCAGTCAAAGCCCTGTCCAATAACGAATATTTCCAATTTCTGATTCAAGACAACAGGTGTTACTGAACTTATGCAAATAACCATTTTGCCTCAAAATAAGAATACTCCCAAATATTTACCGATTAGGGGTCAGGAAGGGAGAACCGTTTATGTTTCCATTTAAAGAAACAAGCAAACAAGAAGAAAAACAACTTTAACAAATTGTTAAACCTATTAACAGCTCAAAAGGAAGCAAACTCCTTAAGTCGGGAAAACAAAACATACTAAAGAAAAACACAGTAATGTTTACTCAAAAGTCATAACAGTCTATTTCACCAGTTGTCTTATTTAATTAGTCTTTCTTCTGTTGAATTTGCAGTGTTACTGTGGTCCGATCTTCCCATTTAAATCCTGGAAGTTAGCATTCAATGTTATTATTAATATTTCTCGTGCCTAGCATTAAGTTGGTCATTTTCTTGGTTACTTTTCATTCTCTTATTTCTGTATGTGTGTCTTTAGTTTTCCTGGTAAAGCACTCCTTTCAGAACTTCTTGAAAAGCTGGTCTGGTGTTGGTAAATTCTTTTAGGTTTTGATGATCTGAGAATTTTTTTTTCTTTTTTTCCCACATGAAGGATCATCTTGCTGGGTATAGTAGTCTTGGTTGAAATTGTTTTTCACTTAACACTTTGAATATCTTTCCATTCTTTCCTTGCTCGCATTGTTTCTGGTGAGAGATCTGCTGTTAGCCTGATGGGATAATCTTCATAAGTAACCTGACATTTCTCTCTTGTCAATTTCAGTATCTTGTCTTTGTCTGTGGATTTGGCCAGTCTGGCTATGATGTGCCTTGGAGAAGATCTTCTTGGGTTGATTCTATTAGGGGTCCTTTGTATTTCTTTGGTCTGGATCTTTGAATGCTTCTCTAGATATGGAAAGTTTTCTTCCAGGATTTCATGGAATAGTTTATCAATGCCCTTTTTAGTTTCTTCATCTCCTGGGATATTGATTATCTCGATGTTTAGGTACTTAATGGTATCTCGTGTTTTTCATATATTAGTCTCATTTTTTGGGGGTTATTTTCTTAGTTTTTTTGGTTGTTTTTTCTAGGTTGGAGGTTTTGCCTTCAACATCTGAGATTCGATCTTCTGCATGGACTAATCTGCTTTTAATACTTTCAAGGGCGGTTTTGATTTCCTGTATTGCAGATGTCACCTCTAACAGCTCTATTTGATCCTTTTTTTTATGGTGTGTATTTCCTCTTTCAGACTGTGTAAGAACGGCATCACATCCTGGAACTTGCCGTCTCTTTTCTCCTGCGTCTTCTGGAGTTCGCTGTCTCTCAGCTCTTGCATCTCGTTTAGTTTTGTCACTATGAATATTCTGAATTCTCTATCAGACATTTCCACGAGCTCCACTGTACTATCTGGAGATGATGAGGGATTGTTCTTTCCACTTCGGAGAGAGACATTTCCTTGTTTTCTCCTATTTCTTGTGTCCCTGCGGTGGTTTCTGGCCAGTCTGTGACAAAAATCTCTCCTCTGCTTGTCTGAGTGTTTGGGGTCCAGAAGGTGAAGTTTAGAGCATAGTTTGAGTCGCCTTGGTCCCTGATCATGCCAGGACACACCTCAGATTTAAAATGGCTTCTTGTCTGAGTGTTTGGGTCTCCCTTGCTTATTGATTCTTTTTTCTTTTTTTTTTGAGAGGTTTTCGCTATAGGGTGCGTGCGCTCGCCAGACAGACAGAGACAGACATAGAGACAGAAAGCGAGAAATCACCCCCTGGGGGGATGGTCATGACACAATCCCTTCTCCTCCATTCTCCTCTTGGGATCTTGGGCACGCACGCACACGCACCCAGCGTGAGTTTTAAGCCACTGGGTCTGGGATGTGAACCGCGGTTGACTACGTGGGAGTCCAGCGACACAGCCATTACGCTAACTGCTGGTCTCCTTGCTTATTGATTCTTGATGGGTGGTGGCAATACTGGCTCTCTTGTGGGGTGTCTCATCCATTCATCTATTTCTTCATTAGAAGATTTTTTTGTTTCTGAGAGAGATTATTTGCTTTAGTGCATGCGCTCTCTCTGGAAAGACACAGAGAAACAGAGAGACGGAAAGTGAGAAGTTACCCCCCAGGGCGTATGGCCGCCCTGCAATCCCTTCTCCTCCTTTCTTCTGTCCTCCTCTTGGGATTTTGGGCACACATGCACATGTGCCCAGCGTGAGTTTCAAGTCACTGGATCCAGGACAACATCTCATTCACATACCCGACACTGCTCCAGGTGCTGGAACACAGTGATAAAAAGACAAACCCCAAATCCTGCCCATGTTAGCTTTGATTCCAGAGGAGACAAAAAATAAACAAACTCCCTGTGTACAGAGTACGTTAGAGGGTTCCAAGTGCCGTGGAGAAAAGGGAAGCAGGGCTGGGGGCGGCAGGCAGAGGAGGGCTGGAGTGTGAGCTGTCCCGAGTCCTGTAATCTTCCCTGCACCTCTCACGTCTCGCTGGGCGCGGGCTGCCTTGGGGTTTTGGTTGTGTTTTCATATGAATATCTTATTCCTCTTAGCAAGGGGAGGCAGCCTGAGATGCCTATGCTTTCCCAGGGCATAGCATCGGCCTATACCTACAGATGCTACGGCACCTGCCGGCATGGAAGGGTCCCAGCACAGAGGCATGAAGGCTGGCATTGCTTGCGCTAGGTGACTGAGTTTGGGGCCTCTATAGTTTGCTCCCTTGGAAGAGCATAGCACATCACATTCTCACTGTGCTGGGGCTCAAAGTGGGCAGGTGTACTTCTCCATCCTTCAGCGATTGCTCTGGGCCCCATGGCTCACTTTCACCAATGAGACCTTAAAAGACATGACCCAAGGAGAAACTAGAAGCATTGCTGTTCCTGGGAGACCAGCAGGCCCTGGCTCCAGGGAGGAGGACACGGGTGGCTCAGACGTGGTCACCACCCTCTGCTTAGAGCCACACCCAGACTAGATCGGCCAAGGCGAACCAGGCCATGGACCGGGAGTGAGAAGCCAAGCCCCCTGTCTATGACGCAGAGTCTTGACGCGGTTCATTCTGTGTGCTAGCCCCCCACAGCCCAGATGTTTGTGTAGCTCTCGCTCAGTGGGTCAGTAAATACTTCTGGACAAATAATGTGCTCAGAAGGTGAGAGAAACTTGAGCAGATTCTGTTCCTGTCCTGGACCTCGCGTTCTAGAGAAGAAGACAGACGAAGACATAGACATCATTATAGAATAATGACGAGCATGTACAATGTTGTGCTGAGGAAGTTCTGGGTGCTGGGGTGTGTAAAACTTCCTGGAGGCCAGAGATAAGGGCTAGGACTTGGTGACTCTCCAAGGTTAAGTCTAAGGGATGGGGGAGGGGAGTGATGTTCAAGTGGCGACTCGAAGAATGATGCTGATTAGCAAAGGGAGTCGGGGTTGGGGGGCTGTTTCTGATGGAGAAAATCGTGTGCCAGGGCCAGGATGTGGGAGGACTAAGCTCAAGGAACTGGGGAACATCTAGCAGGCGGGAGCTGAGCAGGTTGAGACGAGAGCAGGGAGCGGGAGGAAGGGAGCTCAGGCAGAGGGCACAGCCAGTGCAAAGGCCCAGAGTCAGGCCTGAGCCTGTACAGTTTGAAGAACTGCTAGAAGCCCATAGCAGGAAGGTGGCAGCAGAGAGGAGGCTTGAGCGCTGGGCACAGGTGGACTGGGTCTGGGAGCTGGCATTTATGCTGGTGCCAGGATAAGACTGAAGGATTTTAAGGAGGAGAGTAACATTTGGGAACAAAGTTTACCCTAAGAATCTCAATAAATTAAATGTATAGTTTGAATGTGCAGAGAGAAATGGGAGAGTTTCTACAACTGTGTGATAAGATCGTAGTTTTTTTTTTTTTTAAAGTATTCTAAGTTTTTAAAGGTCATTCCAAATAGTGGATTTCTATCTCATCTTTGTACCAAAGCATATTGTAAAGTTGAGAGAAAGCAGAAGTTCTTGACTTGCAGTAACACAGAAGAGACATCGATTTGTAAGTAAAATATCTATCCTTACACTCGCTCCAAAGTTTTTGGACTGCTGTGGGTCATGAGAAGAAATGGTTCAGAATACATGGTATTTTGTTTCCTTAAATTTCCTGCTCTGACATCTGAAATCTCACTGCAGTATTACTTGTTAAAAAACAAAACAAAACAAAACAAAAAACTGCTTATTTTAGCAAAGAGTTTTATGGTTTGTAAAACACTACCTGGTTATTGACTATTTAATTTACAGTTTCTCAAATAATCCTTTGATGATAGAAAATCTGTTAGACTTCAGTAAATTTGGAAAGGTATACTTAGAAACATAAAGAAGGGAATGAAACCCATGTGTAATTCTACTACTGGTTGGCAATACCTCTTGTTGGCATTTTGACACCTCTCTCCAGACCCCCTGCTTTGCATATCGGTGTGCATTTGTGCGTGTGGATGACGAGGTCGTAGAATGCACTGTTTCATATCTTGCCTTTTAACTTTCAATTTGCCTTTTATCATGACCACTTTCAGTGCTATCCCACAAAATCATTATTATTATTTTAGGAATGTTCTGGAGAGTGGATGTATTCACTAGAGAAAGAGGGAACGTGAGACCCCCCCGGGGGGATTAACCACATCGCAATCTCTTCTCTCTTCTTCTTCATTCTCCTCTTGGGATTTTGGGCATGCATGTGCACGTGCCTGGTGTGAGTTTCAAGCCTCTGGGTCTGGGACTTGAACCGCTGTCGGCCATGTGAATGTCCAGCGCCTTAATCACTATAGTACCTGCTGGCCCTGATATAATTATTTTTAAATAGCCCTGTAAGATTCCATTATTTTTAAATAGCCTGGCTCATCCATCGTGTCTTCATTTGTTCTTCTATTAATACTTGTGCACATCTGTCAGTGTTTCGAACTTTTGCTGTTAAACATAATGCTGTAGTGAACATCTGTACATATAATCTCGGAGTGGAGTTATTATTTTCTTCAAATGAATTCCCAAAACCTAAACAACTGGGTCAGGGAGTAAAAACCTTGTAAACTCTTGACAGGTGCAGCAAATTGCTTTCAGACCCTGGGGCTGCGAACAGTGTCCTCTCCGCACCCCCGAGGCACCGAGTGGCACATACTCCAAGTATTTGTCTGGCTTCTGGCTAATCCGATTTGATGTGCTCTTGTTGTTCTTTTCATCTTGACAGAGTTCCTTGCCAGGACCGCTAGCCCTTGGCTCCACCTTCTCAGGAGCAGATTGGAACATGCCTTCCAGCCAGGGAGGAAACTGAGTCCTCCTCCACAGAGAACGACTGTGCCCAGCAGCCTTGTTGGGGAGGCAGCCCCACCTGCACTTTGAGAATTGTGGTCAGTGATTCAGAGTGTAGACGGGAGCCGCTCTGTGAGCACCTGAACGTGCTCCCTGATGGGGGCTAAGGAATTACTCTTTGGTGCTCGGCTCTTGGGAGGTGGTGCCGCAGAGGGACATGCCCTCTAGTCACAGCATCCCGGACTCGCTCTGCCGGCCTCTTGAGTTGGGGGGCTGCACACACGGACTGCGTATTGTTAAAGGGTCTCCCCAGGCACCATGTCCTGTTGGTGTCCCATCTTCTAACTCTTCATCGGCTGTCTTGGCATGGTGCCCTGCGGCTGCCTCACCCTGGAGGCTGTTCCCAGAGCCTATTTCACGGCTCATTCAGGAGGAAGATTAGGAGGGCTTTTCCATTTCTGTACTAAATGATTCAATCCCCAGGGGACTTGGTCAGCACAAGTGTCCCCGCACAGCCTGGCTCCAGGCTCTTTGTAATTTGTCATTCCAACTGTGAGCACACAGACCCTTCACCAGGGCACTGGGCTCCGGCAGAAGTCGCACCATGGCCCCAACGGGACATCTGGCCCCAGAAACTGAGGCTTGGGCAAGAGGGGAAGCCATGAGGGTACCTGACTCACTTCAGGACACTGGTGCACGCAGGGACATCCACAATGATGGGAAATCCTATTCCTCCTTAAGATGGATGTTCTTCTGGAAGTACAACTGATGAATATTAATTGCTCCTAAACGGGGACCATTATTCAGGAGCTGTAGTTGGCCCCGGGAGACCTGACCTTGTTATTTCTGTGTTTATATACAAATCACCCTTTCATTCCCACCAGGGCGCCCTGCTGCAGGCAGAGCACGGAGGAAGGCACGGCTGGCCCTGGGTCCAAACAGGGACTCACAGGACATGAGTGGGACAGTGGATGTTGTGCCTTGGTAGGAGATTTTAGGTGGAACATAAGCCTCAGACCGGAAGTCACGGTGCCGGGGGCTGAGTGATGCTCCTGCCCCGTCTGTTCCATGTCCTTCCAGGTCTCCATAGTCTGGGCCATGAGGGGCTCCCTCTGATAGCTCTTGATGTTCCTGAGACCCTCAGGTCCTGGGTTCCCTGGAAATGCTCCACCATCCCGTGGTGTGCTGGGAGGGCCCTCCTGGCCGGGGGACTGTGAGCCTGTCCTGGGCAGAAGGCAGTGAGCGCACCACCCGGACGCTGAGGTTGCAGGCAACAGAGTCCAGGTTAGGTCCTGAAGCGGGGAAAAGCACAACCGGCCAGAGGTCTGGGGGCAGAAGCCCGGGGCCTTGGGGAACAGGGGCCAGGGCGTCCTTGGGCTCTGGGTGCAAGAGTGAATGAGAAGGGCTGCTGTGGAGGGTCAGTGGGACTCAGGTGAATTCAATCCCCACGTGAAAGTGGATGGGCCCTCGTCCACATACGGAGGAGGCCCCGAAACACCAGGCTCCTCTCCAGGGGCCTGCCCCAGTGTCCTTCCCCTCCCGCCCCTGCCAGGGAACCTCCTCTCCCCATATCCCTCCCTCCTCTCTCCCTTTCTTCCTTTACTACAGTGTTAATTAGTTGAAAAAAACAAAGATGAACTCCCCACTCCAGGCACCGGTTTTCTTTCATCACCAACTTCACCTTGCTATTTGCTTCTCTTTGTGCCTCGGTCTCTAAAATGAGCCTAAAGCAACAAGAAAAAAATGAGTGTTAGATGGAGCGTCGAAGGGAGGTGACTTCAATTTTTCCAAGTGGCCTTTTCCATGTGAAAAATATCAGCAGATAGAAGTGGGGGAAGTCACCAAGCTGGTTACACCCAGAGGTGAGGGTCTTCGGAGCGACCTTGGTTCAAAGCACATCACAGGAGAGGCTGTTGTAAAGGACACTCTCGGAGTGACAGGGGCCCGGCATGACGTCAGGGATCTTCAGAGACCAGAGCCAGTAGGATGTGGGCATATATGAGGGGTTTTCAGCAGGTTCGTGGAAAACGATAGTACGAAAAGACTGTGCATGATTTCAGATGTTTCTGCCAACATAAACGCATGCTTCAATTCCATTTTCTCCACGAATCTTTTAAAGTCTCCTCGGATAGAAAGAGGATTATCTTAAGGAATCGCTTGCATGATTACGGAAGTTGACAAGTCACAAAATATGTAGAGTGAGCCAGGCTGGAGACCCAGAGGAGTCTGCGGTTTGGTTCATGTCTGAAAGCTGTCCGCTGTAGAAGGCCTCCTTGCTTAGGGGAGGACGGACTTTTTTTCCTTTGTATTTATCTCTTTCACTAATTGGAGAAGGCCCATCCACATTGTGGAGGATGCTCGGCTTTCTTCAAAATCTGCTTTATTCATCTCCTTTAAAAACACCCTTGTAGGGGACAGGTAGATGGCGTAATAGTTATGTAGCTGGACTCCCACTTGTCAACCACACAGTTCGAGTCCTGTACCCTCTGGATTAAAACTCATGCCGGGAGTGTGTGTGTGCATGCCCAAAGTCCTGAAAGGGGAAAGGAGGAGAAGGAATTGTGGCATGGCCACCCCTCCGCCCCCCAGTGGGGAGTCATTTCTTATTTGGGGCCAGCAGATAGCATAGTGGTTATGCCTCTGGACTCCCACATGGCTGACTATGCATCGAGTCCTGAACCCAGTGGCTTCAAAATCACTCTAGGTGTGTGTGCGTGTGGGGAGGAGAATGGAGGAGAAGGGATTGCTGCATGGCCATCTCCCTGGGGGGCTGATTTTTTACTTTCCCTCTCACTGTGTCTGTCTCTCTCTCTCTGGGAGTGCACGTGCCTTAAGGCAAAAACCTCTTGAAGTAAAGCAAAACAACACAACAAAGACACCCTTGCAGAAAGATCCCAAATAACATCTAACTATATAGCTGGGCATGTGGTCCAGCCAGACAACATATAAAATTCAATATTTCCTCTGGGTTTGGATTTGCAATCTTTTGGTATCTGAATGTCAAAGAGGGGTGGGGTTTCCTATTTTCCGTTCCTTGGTCCAGGGGTCGTCTGCCTTTTCTTCCTGCCCATGTCTCCCGAGAGCAGTATTTTGGGAACCACCATGTTTTCACGCTTGGGCCAAGTGGCCCCATGCTCCCTCCTTCGGCAGTAGCCATTGTGGTTGGCCTACTGAAGGGCATATAATTCGAGGTGGGCCAATGGGAGAGGACCTGAGACATTAGGCCACCATGGAGAAGGAAGGCCACTTGCTGCGGGGACCTCTGAGCTGGGAGACTGAAACTGGGAGCCATTGGTGCCATCTTTCCAGCTCTCATGCTGAGCCTTCTGGGAATGAGGTCAACAGAGAGGGAGGCAGTAGTGGGGTGGGGTGGGGTGGGGGAGAGAGAGATGAGGATGCCACTCGAGACCCTAGATCTAGCTGTGCTCCAAGCAGAATGAGTCTGTGAACTTCTCAGTTCTGTTGACTGATCTTTCTCCTCTTAGTTTGGATTTGGTTTCAGTTTGATGAGCCAGAAAGACCCTGATTAATATTCGTAGCACTTGGAAGGGTTAAAAAAATAAATAATGAAGATAATGACAATAACAAAAGTGATTAAATTATGATAATCATGACTTGACAGAGGCCAAATTATGTATACGTGGGGGGGACTTTTAAAATGTTGTGGAAAAGTGGAATTAAGGTTTATTTTGGTGCAAACATTTTGAAATCATGTATACTGTCTGCATAATATGCATTTTCCATAGTCCATAATGCATACTTTCGGGAGGCTGTTCCTGTGAGTGTGTATTTTCAATGAGATATTAAAGTAAAGTAAAAAATAAACAGGTGCAGTAGAGCATGGAGTTCCCGAACTTCGATGGAAGGCATTCCGCAGTGAGAATGCTCCTGCCTTCACACTCGCTGTGGACATGTGCTAATGCCTCCGTGTGCTCTCCATCCTCTTCCTGAGACTCACCCTCACTGAGGTCGTAGCGACAGTTCGCTTGTTTTCACTGCTGATCAGTTTCCCGTGGTATGAGGGACCACCAGTTGTGTCTTCATTCTCCTGTCACTTTGAGCTTTTGGACAGAGCCCAGTCTGGGGCCATGAAGGCATGTTGCTGTAAATCTTCTTGGACATTTCTCCTGTCCAAAAGGACATGTTTCTTCTGGTCAGTAGCTTTCAATTTTGTTTCAATTTCACTCCTGATAAGATATGTAATTGTAGGGTCACAGAGCTGACTGCAGTTTGAAACTCAGACCCGGCAGCTTGAAACTCATGCTGGACGCGTGTGTATGCATGCCCCAAACCCTGAGAGGAGCACAAGTGTCCTATAGCAAAAAATCTCTAAAAAATGTAATTGCAGTGTAACCTACTGTGCGTTTGTGCATTACATACACACACACATGCACACACACACTTTCAAACACCCGTTTTGTAAATGAACATTTCACACATCCATTCTCGGCCTTAAATTGTGAGTGTGTTCCGGTCTACTATATTTCATTTGAAAAATGCTGGTGTTTTCAAGACTTACTAATGGAAACCCTGCCCTGGTCACATCCGCAGGAGTGAAGCTGCCGGATCATCTGGTGTGGGTTTCACCCAAGGGACCAGACAGTCAGGTGCTGTGCACAATCTCCCCGCCACAGGAGGTGAGTCCTCGTCGCTGTCTAGTCTTGAATGTACTGGAGGGTGAGGTGCCTGCCAGCCTGGTGGGTGTTACACGACTGCTCATCACGTTGGGTCGAGAACCCTGGTAGAAGGCACAAGTGCACACCCTTCTCGAAGAGCCAACTCCAGTCTCTTGCCCATTGCCTGTTGAGTTGTCTGAATGCTTGTCATCCTCTCTGTGAGGGGATTCTTTGTATTTTCTGGACAGTGGTCCTGGAGACTGTACTGTGTGACATGGTCCAAACGCCCAGGAGCAGCCTCTGCAGGGGAGAGGAGGGGCCAGAGTGAGGAGCAAGGAGACTCTGCAGGAAGAGGGGCCGGGGCAGGCCGGGACTTGGGGCTGCTGCAGGGACTTGGCTTCTGGTCCCAGTTGGGCGAGATTGGCAGAGGGTTTAGCCAAAGGAGGGGCAGGATGTCAGTTAGCTATTTCTGTCACCGTTGGCTCAGTTGAACTCAGTTCTCTAGGCAAACTTGGCCTTCAGCACCGCCTGGCACCCAGTGGCCATCCAGCAGCCGCTCTGCCCCGGCTCTCATCTGCGGCATGTCTCACGTCTGTCCCCCCGGACTCTGCCGTTTATGAGCCTCATTACACCTGGGGGCGGAGAAGGAGGTTCACGAACGGCTCATAAAGCATCTTCTTAAAGGTTAATGGCCACTGTTGGGGAAGCCGGGCCAAACTCGGACGTGCTCTTTGGTGATGTGGGGTTTTCAATTACATGGAAATAAAAGATCCAGGCCTCTGAGCGGCTGCCTGGCTGACTACTGAGCGGTCAGGAGGCCTGGGGGTCTTGAAACTGGGACCTTCTGCCCAGCGTGGGCTGCGGGCCCTTCTAGGTGAGCAGCAACCAGGCAGGTGAAGAGAGAGGCAGCCCGAACTCTGCTGCCTGCCTCACTAGGGTGGGCAGAGTGTGGAGAGGAGGTGCCGGAGGAATCCCACAGTGGGATGAACAGGACCCCGGGAGGGGGGTGACATGACGTCTGTCCTTGCCCGGTCACCCACGGTGCCCGTCCTGAGCCTGCCAGAGGACATGCAGCTGTGAGGTTCATCTTGGAGGCAGGCCCTGCTCAGCTGCCTGGGGGCAAGAGGGCCATGGCCTGAGAGCTGTCCCCGGATACTGTGCCAATTCGCACAGCGTCTCCTGCAGAGAGAGCCGCCCCGGGGCCTGCCTGATCATCAGCAGCCACGCGACTGCCCCACACACCTCAGAGGGCCGCGCTGTGGCTTCTCGCCCTGTCCGTCTACTGGACAGATCTCTGGCAAGCTCTCCTCCTGGCGGTGGCTCAGGGGTTTAGTATGAAGTCCTCTCAAGGGCGTTTCCCTCTTCCTTTCCCACTGTGTTCCTGTACTTGTGCTCTCTACCAAGAAGACAAAAAGGCCTTTTCCGCTGCTGTGAGGAGAAAGAGGGGCCAGAGTCAGTAGAGGAGCTGCTTAGGACAGAGGCAAAATGAGTTATCTGGGTGGGCTGCCAGGTGGAGGCAGCACTGGTGGGGTGTGAGGGGACGGCCTGATGGGGTGCCTTTTCTTATTTCTTTCTCCCCTTACCTGCTGCTCTGTGCTGTTTTGTTAGGCGCGGGAGGCACTGATCATGGGGGACGATTTCCTGCCCCAGCACACCACCTGAGGCTCATCCAACATCTGGTGCCACAATACGTACTTTGATAAATGGACACGCGAGTCAGCGGGCTGACAGAGGAGTGGCCGGTCTGCGTCTCAGGAGACACAAACGCAAGTTATGGCCACGTCGACCAAGGAGCATACTTAAGGGAATTCGCTTTTTCCCGAGACCACGGGCGGGTCACTTCCTCACTGGCCCTTAGGTTCCCTGTTGATAAAATGACAGGTGTGTCTAAATCACCAGCAGATGGCGTGGTGGCTAAGGGGCTGGACACTCCCACATGGCTGACCATGCTTCTAATCCCAGACCTGGTGGCTTGCTTTCTCACTTGCTCTCTCTCTCTGGTCAAATCAAAATAAATGAATGAATGAATAAAATTAAATAAATAAATCTTTTTAAAAATCATCATAAAGCCTATCCATTTCATATCAGTCAGCCTGAAGGCGAGAAGGGGACCTCAGGGCACAGAGAGTCCCTTCCCTTTGGGGCAGCAGCTGTGATCCTGCATTGCTTCCCCATTGGCCAAAGCCTGGTCACATGGCCACTGCTGACCTTGAGGGATGCTGGGAAATGTAGTCTTCCTTCTGATGGCCATGAGCCCAGATGAGTCTGTTATGATGGTAGAGGGGAGAGAGGATGGAGGAGACAGCAGCAGACTGCCCACCCTCACCCATCTTGCCTGGGGAGACCACCTGTCTCAGTTTGCTCAGAACCGAGGGGTCCCTCCCTGGGACATAGGACTTTTACTTTTTAAATCATCCCAGTTTGCCTGAGATGTGGGAGTTTCTTGGCATACTGGATTTCTAGGGCTAACACGAGGAAAGTCTTGGGGGAAACCTGGCTGAATGAATTCCCTTTCCTCCACCCACATGGCTTCCTTTCTCGTCCCAGGCCAGCTGCTGCCCCAGGGCCTTTGCACTTGCTGCGAGCTCTGCCTGGACAGCTCTCCACGGCTCTCTCAGGTGCTCGCTCCTTTCCACTCAGAGCACATCACTGGGTGCCCACCTGGAGCGTGGCCCTCTGTGCGTGTCACGTGCCAGAACAGAGGCTTTTGCTGTGAAGATGCCAGCTGTGCTCTTACATAACGAGCTGCTTCTCTCTACCCTTCCCTGCCCACTCCAGTTCCAGATCTCTGCGGATTAGTGATTGCTATTCTCTCCACCTCGGAGAGGAACATCTCTTCCCTAAGGCTCTGGCCGGGCTCACCCAGGTCTAATAAATCTGATGCTAATGACCCGAAAGGGAAACATGTTTAAGTCCCAGGATTATGATCTCGGAAGCAGAGATTGTGAAGAGACGTGTACATCTAATAAAGACCAAAGTGTGGATTAAAAGGAAATGTGGGGGGAGAGACTTTCCAGTGAGGAAACCCCCTGGGTGAGTTCGTCAGTACGACCTATGTGGAGGGCAGCTGGGCAATTTATAGCAACTGCCACGTAAGATGCATAGCTTCTGGCCTCAGGGTCCACTCATAGGAATTTATCCCCAGGAAACAACAGTACATTCGCGTGCTCCAAGGGAATAAGAAAAATATGCCAAGATGAATCTCTAAGGATTTTGATGAGAGGAAGGAAGTAGAGAGTGGAGATGCCCATTGGTGGTCCTGGGCCCTCGTTCTAGCTCTGCTTCTCTCTGGGGCCTGGAGCCTTGCTACCTTTTCCCAGCCTGCCTTGCAGCGAGGTGTGGCCACGTGACCAAATTCTGTCCAATGGGAGGCGATAAAAGTGTTGGGTTGCATTTTGGAAACAGCTGGCTTCTTTCTTTCGTTTCATTCCTTATTTGTCCCTTTCTTTGACCAGCTTCCTGGAAGATGCTCACAGCCATTCAGTCATCTTGGACTCTGCCGGTTAGGCTCATACCCTAGGGGTGGCAAAGCAGTCACCTCAAGTAATCCAGGGTCCCTAAGAGCACTTAGTCTTGATTTCTGCAAGAGATCAACTGTCTTTGCTGCAGGTCTATCATTGACAGATGTTCTAACAAACGTTGACTTGATAAGAAGTAGGAAATTATTCTCTACGTTATGGCCCCTCCACGTCTGCCAATACTAAAAGTGACCATGATCTGTAGTCACTGATGAGTAGATATGGACATCGAACCTTGTTTAGTGAAAACAAAGCATCATTGCATTTTAATGAAGCAGAATGTGTACATGTACATGTATACCTGTGTCACCTGTGAGGTGTAGTTGTGCACATGTACAGGAAATACCAAGAATGTTACATATCTAAATATTAATGCTGCTTATCTTTGGGTGTTGAAATGTGTAGTGATTTAAAAGTATATATATATATATTTTTTTTTTTTTTTAAGAGAGATTGTTGCTAGAGGGTGAGTGTGCTTGCCGGAGACTCAGGGAGAGATAAAGAGACAGAAAATGAGAAATCACCTCTTGGGGGGATGGCCACACTGCAGTCCCTTCTCCTTCTGGGCTCTTGGACACACACTCATATGTGCTCAGCATGAGTTTCAAGCTGCTGGATCTGGGGCTTGAACTGTGGTCAGTCATGTGGGAGTCCAGTGAAGTAACCATCATGCTGTCTGCTGGTCCCTAAATTTTCTCTATTTTAAAAATGATCAAAATGAGTGTGACTTTTATTATAAGAACAAAAAGTACAGTAGTTGAGAAACCTTATTTAAATGGGTTGTGCTAGGAGGAGCGCGACTCCCTTTTATAGAAAAGTGGCCTTGCAGGACTGTCCTACAAGCCAGCTGTGCCTCTTCTCTCCAGTCCCAGTCCCTGCTGTGAGGTCACACTGGCACTGCGTGTCCTTCACAGAGTCTGACCTGCCGAGGTCAGAGGGAAGGGGATGTCTAGCGATGCTCGGAGCCCGGGGGAGCCGAACAGATGTGACCCTTGCCATTTCAGGGTGGCCTCTCATTGTGAAGAGCGAGAAACAGCTCTAGTGGAATTTCTGAAACGTCACACGGGATGGTTTGTAACTTCTCACTCTGGTTTTGTTGTCGTTGCTGTTCCAACTAGTACATTTGGAAACAAAATTCACCAAGACATCTGGCTATTTACAACCGCTTTGCGCACGTTGGCATAGTCCTTGAAAGCATTAGGTGAAACTCACGACTTCTATGAAAGGGTTACTCTTTTTTATTGGGGACGATAATTAATGCTTCCTGTCCTGGTCAGTAGAACATGTAAAATATGATTTGGGGGACCAGCAGTTAGCATAAGGGCTATGTTGCTGGGCTCCCATGTAGTCGATCGCGGTTTGAGTCCTGGATCCGGCGGTGTGTGTGCGTCTGTCCCCAAGATCCCAAGAGGAGAATGGAGGAGAAGGGATTGTGGTGTGGCCATCCCCTTTGGGGGGTGATTTCTCGCTTTCTGTCTCTCTGTCTCGCTCCCTCTCTTTCTGGCGAGCGCACGTGCCCTATAGCAAAAACCTCTCCAAAAAAAAAAAAAAAAAAAAAAGAAAAAAGAAAAGAAAAAGAATGATTTCGAAGATGGTTTGGTTTAAAGTGATTTCAGGTTGCAGGTCAAATGATTTTACTTTAAAATGAAGCATTTAAAAACCAACATGGGAATGACATCATGTTCTCTTTTGATTCTGTAAAATTCGGAATTCTGGGTGAGTCTGAATTTCTCGGGACCGAGGAGAGAAACGATTTCATGGCGCTCGGGTACTGTATGGAATCAGGATTACAGATGTGGGACTGGTTAACTCACTGAACACGCGTGGCTAGAAGGCGCTCACCTTTGGCTTTGTCTGGACAGGTGAGATTGCTAAGCCCATCCTATGGGTCTGAGCACTCACGCCCAGGAGTGGGGCCCTTAGGAGACCCCAGAGTCCCCGCCTTAGACACCGCACATTTGGAGGAGGGTCACAGAGCCCGGATGGACCACCACGGGCTCATTTCTGAGTTGCTCGAATGTCTCCTGTGGGCCAGGTGCTGGCTCAGGGCCGGCATTCAGGATCTAGCAGGGCATGGTGGATGTGTCCCCACCCTCATCCATGCCCTTATGTGGGTAGATAGGCAGGGAGACGTGAACGACAAAAGACTTTTTGTTAAAAGTTTATTTATATCTTCCATGAGAGAAAGAGACAGAGAGAGACACAGAAAAGAGGCTCTGCTGAAACGGTAGTGGCACCCCCTGCTGCCGCCCTCAGGCAGCCCTTGATCACGGCAGCCGTGTGCCTGGCCTTCTCAGGGAGGTCTCCAGACTTGAACTGAGCACCTTCCCATGTAGGATTGCCTCATAGGGTGTCGCATTGTACCACTGTGCCACTGTCTGGCCCCTACTAAGGAGTAAGACTTGGTCAAGGCAAGCAGGAGACAAGTGGCACCTGTCCTCCTAGGGTGATGGGGGTGGGGAGGCCTCTTTGAGGAGGTGACATTTGAGTGATGCCTACACGATCAGGAGGAATGAGCTGTTCAAAGTCCTGGAGCAAACTCAACCTACAGCCTTGTAGAATAATTTAACGTGGCTTAGTTGCCAACATGCATGTTTTCGTTCTAAAACCTGTATTTCCAATGTCCTTGGAAAACTGAGTAGCTGGTCCAAAGTAGCTGGAGGATTTTGGTTCCTAGGAGGTGAGGCCTGTCCAGTATCTGTCCCACTGGAGTTTTGGGGCCCAGGCTGTAGAACTGAGGACGCTGGGCTTAGGTGAGGGGATCCAGGTTGCCAAGGACTCCCACTGTCCCAGGTGGCCAGGTGAACCCAGCTCTCTACCCCCTGCTCAGTGTAGGCACTGTGTCCTTTGTGTCCCCTTCTCCCGAGCCCCTGAGCCTGGCAGCCCAGCCCAGTGGCCCCCTGAATACCACCCAGACCCTGCAAACAAGACTGGGAAGGAAAACCCACCTTTGAATGTGAGATCAGGTGAAATCAGGCTGTGAACGTGTCTATCAGAAACCAAAGTCACGTCACAGGAGCAGCCAGGAGGAATGTCACCGCAGCGGCGGGAAATGACAGAAATGAGCAGGACAATAGGGTGTCGTGAAGAAGGGAAGAGAGATGAATCCTTCCCAGCAGCAGAAATGTCACCCCCATAGAAAAACAGCCTGTGAGGAGGGATGTGCTCCTGGGAGGTCCATGGGGGAGTGTGTGGTTCAAGGCCTGCATGGCGGGCACCGGGAGCAGTCAGTGGTCTTCCAGGAGCAGGGGTCTGGGTCCTGAGATGCTAGATTCCCTCTGTGAGACGTGGCCCCCTGATCTGCCCCTCCTGTAGGTGGCCATAAAGGAGGGACACCAAGAGCTCAGTGTGCGAGCTGGAGTCCCACTTTCTGCCAGGAGGTGCCTCTGAGCCTCAGCTTCCTCATCTGTAAAGGGGGGCTACTATCAACAACCTGACTGACGGCCTGCTCT